AGTACACTTTCATGGCACTTATTTTGTTTTTCTCTTATTTAAAAGTTTACATTTTACATATACTGTACAGGTATACTGTATACATAAATATTACATAAATTATTTCTGCAATTCTTCACAAACAAAACACATAAATCAATTGAACATGTGATGTCGAATGTGAACTGTAAACACTGCATAACCCCGCACCAAGCCACAATGTACAGTACACTTTAAACGCTACTTATTTTGTTTTTCTCTCTTATTTAAAATTTTACAATTTACATATACTGTACAGGTATTTCTTCACAAACAAAACACATAAATCAATTGAACAAGTGATGTCGAACGTGAACTGTAAACATTGAGCCAAGCCACAACACTGTACATTACACTTTAAATGCTACGTATTTAGTTTTTCTCTTTTCTTTAAATTTTTACAATATATATATATATATATATATATATATATATATATATATATATATATATATATATATATATATATATATATATATATATATATATATATATATATATATATATATATATGTGTAAATTAGCAATTTACATATTCATATTATAACTAGGCATACAGAAACATGAGAAAACGTTTGGAGTCCCCCCAGTAGAGATGTGGTTCTCTACCCCACTTCAGGATAATATTAGTCCTCTAGTTTTCTTTTGTGTATAGCTCAGGGGACTCAGTATTTCTGTATATGACACAGGATGATAAAGGAATTTGAATTTATTTGATTATTTATTTATTTATAATATACTGTAATACATTAAACACACTGCAAGTATTTTCTTTAATTTATATACTTGTTTTGCGAAAAAGGGAGGCTACCATTATAACTGGTAGGTGATCATTAAGGACCAAACTCCAAATCCATGACGTGACTTCTGTTAATCATTCTCATCCTAAATTTACCACTGTTGGTAGTTTCAAGAATTAACGCAGTCATTTACTGAATATTCTTTGTAAAAAAATAAATTTTAAATTAATTATTTATAGGAGATAAGTATTATGATCAGTAAATATACAGATATGCATTACTGACCACCTCCGAACACAAGGACGGCTAAAAATAGCCACAGGCGGTCACAGTCAAGGTCACTTTCCCTTTCTTGTCACTGGCAAATGGGGGAGGGGGGGATGATAATAGCAGCTGTGTTTATTACAGTATGTTAGACTGGTTTATAATACATTTTTATTGTTTTAATATACCGGTAATCTTCATTTTAATCCAGCTTACCAAACGTAAGTTTCAGTATAAAATAATTAGTGGTACTGTAGGACCTTGTGAGTGGTTTACTGTATACATAAATATTACATAAATTATTTCTGCAATTCTTCACAAACAAAACACATAAATCAATTGAATATGTGATGTCGAACGTGAACTGTAAACACTGTGTGTGATGTAAAGAGAGCGCGGGTGTAAAACGCTATGTAAATTGATTTTCTCTTTTATGTAAAATTTTACAATTTACTTATAATATATAGGTATACTGTATACACAAATATTACATACATTATTTCTGCAATTGTTCACAAACAAAACACATAACTCAATTGAACATGTGATGTCGAACGTGAACTGAAGCCACAACAACCGTTCAAGTGGAATCGCGTTAGAGCAAACGAGTTCGCGTTTTACAAATATCGTTCCTCAATTCATAAATCGCGTTCGAGCAAATTCGCGTTGTCAAAACACGCGTTATAGCAGAACTCACTGTACTCATCATACAAAAAGTGACTGCTATGCATCACAAGACCTTTTTGCAGACTATGTTCCGGTACAGAGTTACGTGACATGCACTGACAGCAATAATGATGATGAAAGTGAAGATGAAAATGATGAAAGTGAGTCTAATGGTAACAGAGTGACACTAATGTATCACAACAAGAACATACAGACTGTGAGGAGGTAGAAATGGACAGTGACGAGGCATGCATTGACCTTGATAGTGATGAAAGTGTGCCTGAACCAACGAATGCGAATGAAAGTGAGCCCATAACTCAATCTTATAATGAAACTAAACTGTTGCCGGCATCAAAAATCAATGATCTAGTTCATGAAGAATCTGTGTGGCGATTTTTAGAGAGGGCAGAAAAAGACTTTGATCAGTACATGATTGATTATGAAGAGGCCATTTAAGTTAAACGCACTCCTCAGGATTTACGTAACTTCAAGTTACTACGATATTCAGGGATAATAAAACGAAGGAACTAAACAAAGTAAGATTGTAATACTATTATCAGAATACTCTCTTAACCAAAGAATATGCAAACTTTCTAAGCCTTTGTATTCGTCTGTTAATTACGTTGGGGGGGGGTTCATGGTAGGGGGTGGGATGAGTGTAGTGGTGTTTCCTCATTATTACACACTATTAAACTTAACAATATTATAAATCTTTGGCTAATAATAGGGACGGAAAGATAAATACTAATAGGCAAATGAGTTTTTATTATTATTTTTGGGGGGGGGGGGTGGTAAAACGAGTGCTGTTTTTGGTTATCATTAACTTGTTTTACAGTATTAACCCACAAATATTAATAAAAAAAAATTGCAGAAAAATGCGATTATTGTTGGTTTGAAGATCAAACAACTCTACATCACGGGTTATTTTCATTCAACTCGCAATAAATTAATAACTATTCACTGTACTAATTTCCAGTTGTCACAGTTCGCTAGGAGAGGGATTAAGCTGCACGATAAAAAAAAGAACCCTCTAGCTTAAAAAAAAAGTTATGGTTGTTTGAACCTTGAAAACTTTCAACGTGTTTTTCTCAGCTTTTTGAATTTGGAGCTTCACCCCCTTCTAATGCAGAGTGCGTCAACTGATGTAGTATTTCTCAAAAAGTTTCACTAATGATTAGAAATACAAAAAACAACACAGGGACAAAACTTTTCATATATCTTTAGGAGGGTGTGAGGATCACAGGGTGTGTTAGGAGCACAAAGTGACTTAAGGTCAACAGCTAGAGGATATTAAGGCAAAGTGAAGGTTTGGGGACAGTAGAGTCAGAGTGGAAGATTAGGTAAAACAACAGTGGAGACTTAGGTAGAGTCAGAGTGGAGGTTAAGGTGAGCACTCTTCATAACCAATGTCATCATTTGGTAGGTTATACTCACCAGCTTGACTCCTGAGGGCGGGTTCTTCATGGCCTTGACGACGCGTATGTCATCTTGTTTGAGGGTGTTGAGGGCGTCTGTGGCAGCATTGAGAGCTGGTACTGCCTTGGCGAGCTCCTTTTCACAGTCGTCTTTTATGGCCTGTGCATCGGCAAACTTCTTATTGGCCACCGCCTCGTCTGCCGCCACCAACTGAGAACAAATTTGTTATCAACAACCAAGAAATGAGATATGTTATCACTTTCATCTTTTTTTTTTACCAAGAGAGGCAGGGTTAACATTAGAAGGGAACATAAAACACGAACACAAAAACAGCAATAACTAGCAAGGTGTTCATGATAGTAACAAGAACCTTGCCAATGACAATATTTTACATCAAGATCACAAAACACTGACTGAATTGTGACTACAACATTGGTTTCATTGTGGTATCTTCAACAACCTTCCATGTTTCACTTATGTTTGTTCTTCTGGGTTTGGGGAATTATACTTGTGTTTGTATCTATGAACAAAATATATAAAAGAATGGGAAGGGTAGCTTCGATGAAACCTGGCAGGCTAAAAGGTTATTTACCTCAGAGAAAATAAATAAATTTGGGCAAGTAAAGCTAAAGAATAGACTGGTGAACTCTAGTGAAACAGTCTTTTTTTTTTATCCTCTTCACCACTGATTGGCTCGTTAGGTGCTTGGGCGATCGGTCACGTCTCTGTTACTTTTCCTTTTCTTTTATCCTCTTCACCAAATGATCGTCAAGGGTTGAGTGTAGGCAAAGGAAGAGGTACGGTAATTGAAAGCTGGGGTAAATATATTCAAAGCCATGGTCACAGTCACATTCCACTGTATGTGTCTGTTGTCTACACAACTCTTTATTAGAGTTAATGAAACTTGGGACTATAGGTTGCTGTTGATTAAGAGAAATCTAGTCTAATTTTGGAGAAAGCAGGTCAAGGTCACACTTACAGTTCACAGTCAAAGACAATATATTTCACATCTGTTAAATTTGCTAGGTAGATTGAATGATCAATAACCACATAAATTTTTTATGTATTTTAGTGCATGAAATATAAAGGGCTCTTTGAACTTGATTTCTTATATATTTTCTCTTAATTTAAAGAAGTTAGTTGTCTAAACCAACCAATCTATCTAATTTCATTAAAAACAATTAACTCGCTTCGACATATTTTCTACACAACCAAACTCACACATGTAGTGTAGTTATAGCACCTGGTTGAGTATTATCTGTAGTACATTTCTGCACTTCAACATACACACTGTACCATCTATTACAGAGTTAGAGATACATCTTTTTGTTATAGAATTATTAATAGTATTAACAGGTAAGTTTGACAAGTGAAAGATAACAGCTTCACACCTCTTGTTTCCTCTCCACTTGGATGGTGTCTTGTTCGATCTTGATCATAAGTGCCTCCGTGTTGGCAGAGGTCTCCACTAGGCGGGGCTGCAGCAGCTTTAGCTCTTCTTGCAGTTCAGTGATCAACAGCTTGGCCTCTTTCAGTTTCTCCAGACCTGTCACATACCTTCAGAGATGAAATGGTTAATGTTTTTGGCACTAAGAATGCATATTCATACATTTAAAATAACTTGGGCACAATATTATTGATTTTCACAAGTGAAATAAAAACAAAATCGAAGTTGGGTCGGGTAATTCTCATAGACTAAAATTCATCAATAGATGTACAGTATAACATTACTAAAGCTGGTGATGAGCTTCCTGAGCTTTACCTGTCCCGTAGTGTGAGGATCTCTGAGCGCTTCTTAAGGAGGAGCTGCTTGAAGGTGAACACGAGCTCCAGGTAGGAGGTGGATGTCACAATGTCACATAGTACCTCCGCCGCAGCTGCTCATAGAACCTGTAGGAGCACTCATCAAGGTCTCATGTATGTCTGGTTAATTAAGGTATTGGAGGGCTACCAACGTCTCATGTACAGTATGTCTTATGGTTTTAATGAGGTCTTGGAAGCCCACCAGGTTCTCATGGGTTAATTAATGTCTTGAACCCCTGGGCTTCAAGTCAAGTCATATGGTGTGCATCTTTAGAGCTTCAGGTCACCTCATATGAAATTTTGACATTTAGTGGGCCTATTTGAATATAAAATGCACTAAACTAACTCAGAATAATGGGATAAACTCTCCTGTCTCATGTGGTGACATGCGAACTTCACATGCTACCACCCACAATGCCTTAGTACCAATCGCGTCTCAAGATGCAGAGGTCACGTCGATCACACTTGCCCAATCCCAGCACCTCCATTCCCAGCTCCCAAGCATGCCAGATAAGTGGTCCTATGCCTGTGCAGTACTATTATTTTCTACATGATCATCATTGGCCAGTCAGAAGTTAAAACACAAACAATCAAACATGGATGTTTTATTGAAGAGAGTTTTCTGACTGTGGTAAACTGTATTTACATAATTAAAAACAAATTTCTAGTATAAAAAGACAGACATCAGTCTATAGATTGCTCAGGTTTGCCTACTTGAGAAACAACTGGATAAATGCTAAAATGAAATCCACACGAAGCAGTCTTTGACCCTTGGTAGTTAAACTGAAAATGATAACATAAGCAAGGTGTGGATGTCCTTGAAACTACCTGTGGGCAAGGTCATCAATGCTGTGGTGGAAATACTTGCAGACAGTGACACAGTGAGCCAACAATGATGCCTCCAGTTTAGTTTCCTGCAGCAGTGATGTGGCCACCATCTCCAAGGCATCATCAGGCCATGCAGTAAACCTGAACAAGAAAAGGTCATAATCTTGTGACTCTACAGAATTATACTGGCATTTGCCATTTAACAGAACTGCATTCTACAGAGTTTTGAAGTTATGGAACTCAAAAACAGAGGATATTAGTCACTAACGATCTACTGTCTTCCTAATAGAAAACGAGCTGTGGTTGCCATACTGACCAGAACGTATAAAAAATTGTCCCAAACACAATATCTGAGAGAGAAACAAAATAAAAGTCACTCGATTTCCTCACCGTGCTAAGATGTATAAATACCCTATATAAAATCCTCGTGGCACTTAGTATTTCAGCTATTACAACAAAAATTTTAGCGGTGCTTTCATTGTGCGTATTTACACCCGATTCGCCAGGCAAGACGATGACGGTAGCAATGCGTGTGATGGAGGGTGTGGGAGGGGGTTTTGAGAATTGCAATTAAATGCCAGGTAGCGACGTGTCCTCGAAACACATCGACCCCATGGTTAACAATACCTTTTTTTTGGAGGACTGTACATTTCATTCTGCAACCTGGCATTTGTTTGTGTTTTTTGTGTATGTTTTTTGTATATGTGTTTCCATTGTTTTCCTAAGCTTGGCCAGAGGACATTAAGTGCTAGAGGCAGCAGTGGCATTAAGAGAAACAGGAAGGCAATTAATCTGATGTGAAATTACATGACAAGCATTATGTTTCTTGCTGGTAACTGTACTACAGTATTATTTCTATTTATGATTTTATTTGAGAAGCAGGTATTTATTATACTATTTTAGTGCATATTTACTTGATACATATAGTAGTACTGTATTATATTTTGGGGGGTAAAAATTTTCCCTTTAAGAAGGCAAAATTTTCTTTGGAAACACATTGCCAATTATTATTACAGTATTGTTATTAATGAAATTATTATCATTATTATTATTAGCATTATTATGACAGTATTACTGTACATTATCATTATAATTCTTACTAATCTTATTGTTACTGTATTACTATTATTATAAAGCCCTGCATAAAAAGGATTAGCACTATAGATAATATCAATGAGCTCTCACATAGCACTGAAAGTAAAAACCTGTAAATTTTTTTTTATTAACTTTCTAAAATCCTATAAGAAGAAACCATTATTGTACCACAACAATATTATACACTACACTACCACAACATTACACACTACGCTACCAGGGACACCTGACAATACACAAGTGAGGGACACCTGGCAACACGACATCTTCTAACACATGAAGCAGTAGACCCACCAGGACCTACCAGTCTATAGTGCAGCAGTTAATGAGGGAGGGGAACATCCTGAGCCTGGTCCCGAAGGTGTCGCCTATGGGGGACATGGCCACTACCAAGTGCAGGTTGGCCTTCACTCGCTCGTTGAAGTAGCCAAACAGTGTCATAGGTGAGGAGTCCATCTTCTTACCCTTATTGGGATATTAATCTGAGGTTACAATATGTATTATATTGGTTGAGGAGTGTGGTCCACATTATAAATATAAGATGACCCAATGAAACAATTATCAGATGAAAGTAGGATACTATTTCTTGTTGGGATATAAAAATTTTGTATCAATTGAAGATAACTGAAGATTAGTCTTCCCAGCATATTTTACTACAGTAGGTTAGGTTAAGTTAGTGTTAGTGTTTAAACATCAGATGAAATAAGCTGAGATGCTTAATCTTCCTGTGGTCCCAAAATTTTCAATGTTTAGCTGGACCTAACTCTAATAAACAAGATAAATACTGTATAGTGAAAATACTGTACAGTACCGTACATTTATAAACTTTATCTGAATTTCTAAGTTATGTACGTAGCGCTCAAGAACAATAAAGTTATTTATCTACATGAATGAGTAAATAGTGCATAACACTTATTCAAAAAGTATACATATCCTAAATATAATACAACACAGCAACATGTACAGTATATGGTCAACAAGTGCATTACAGGAAACAAGTAATAACAACTAAATTACTATTATGAGCAGCCCACCATGGTATCAATTCCAGTTCTGTATTCCCAAAGCTTATATGGGAACATCCACCTCTACGTATATTTGTGATCTTACTTCACGAGTTTAGTGATAAGGCTCTAGCACTCAAGTTGACGCGCACATGTTCCCTGACTCCATTAGTGAAGGAGCCATAATAACAGAATCTTGATCTTCCAAACCCAGCCAGGGCAAGGATTCTCAAAGCTTTAGGCTTTGTACATTAAATTGTTTCTCATAAATGGAGATAAAGCAAGGTTTCAAATAAGCAGACATAAGAAAGAGCATACAAATAATGTTCAAAATGGGTTCCAAATTATACTGAGCGTCTACCTACACTGGTACTTTATTTTATCACCAATTAGAGGTCAAAGTTAACATGAATTCTGACCCAGTATTGTCAACATATTGTAGTAAATGTTAACATGAATTCTGACCCAGTATTGTCAACATATTGTAGTAAATGTTAACATGAATTCTGACCCAGTATTGTCAACATATTGTAGTAAATGTTAACATGAATTCTGACCCAGTATTGTCAACATATTGTAGTAAATGTTAACATGAATTCTGACCCAGTATTGTCAACATATTGTAGTAAATGTTAACATGAATTCTGACCCAGTATTGTCAACATATTGTAGTAAATGTTAACATGAATTCTGACCCAGTATTGTCAACATATTGTAGTAAATGTTAACATGAATTCTGACCCAGTATTGTCAACATATTGTAGTAAATGTTAACATGAATTCTGACCCAGTATTGTCAACATATTGTAGTAAATGTTAACATGATTGTTCTATAAACTATAAACAGTGGATGGTATGATCGAAGACTGAAAATAAGTTGTTTACAGAAAAAATAAACTTTGAAGCTTCAGTGAGTAATGAGGTGCTGTTGTCTAGATGAGCATGTGTGGCAAGGGAGGCCCCCAGCCCTCTGGGGGGACTGGCTGCTCTCTGCCATGATAACCTACAACTATGCATAAGCCATTATTGAACAAGTTCTTAAACATTAAGACATTGAACAATCTACAACTATGATCAAATAATCAGGAAAATTATTCATCCTCGCCTTAACCTTCAAGTAAGAGGTTGGTTATGTTGTGGCAACTTCCTATTAATGGGTCACATTTCATAGTTTCACCATTGATACAAGTTAACAACAAATTAAGGCTTTTGTGCTTCTTTCCATGACTTATACTCACTATTGTTCTTGATACTTGAACGTGAGACTACAGCATATCAAGTGTAAAAATATTGAGCGACCATTAATGAATAAGCGTTAGTAGAAGCTTTTACGGATAGTTAAGGGTGATATCGTCCTGGCCGCTACTATGAATAGGTAAAATTTTAACTTACAAACAAATAGAATGAAACGCTGTCAGACATAACAGATAAGTAGCGAGTATAAACTATAATTACGGTGTTAGGAGTGTAAATAACAGCGGGTTTTTTCACTTGTTTACATGGTAATTGAAATAGGTTAAATGTGTGGTGCCCCCCCCCCTCGCTCCTTAGACTGGACTGAGAAGGTCATTTTTCCCGACGAGTTTTATACCGTAAATAATTCGGACGAGTGAGAACAATTATATCTGCATTGTGGGTTAAAAAAAAAAGATGGTATTTGATAGATCAGCTTAAAGAAGTCAAAATGAGCTAATTTACTAGTTACAGGAGTCACGGTATTGACCTGAATGATACTCGAAAGTCAAGGAGAAAATATAGTTGAAGGCATTATTAAAATTTAGGCGAATGACACAGGAAAATTTCGCTACACACTGGGAAAAAAAAAGATTCACTTAAACCCTACAACTTTGACGACGGTTTCCATAAAATTATAGATAGATAAATTCTTTACTTCCTCAACTGGAGCTAACTTTGATGATTAAGATAAAAAATAAATAAATAACCAGAAAGTATAAAATAATTTGAACTTTAATGGCGTTTTAACTTTTAGTGAATAAGTGAAGAAAAAAAATTCTCACCAGAAAAAATACGTAAAAAATAAAAATGACTCCAACTTGTAAATTCATCTACTTGTTTCTTAATATGTTAAACACGTCGGATAATTAATGACTTTGAGAGTTATATAACAGGGAGCTGGGACGAGAGATTAGGTAGGTATCCCCCTGTACTATGGCACGACTCACTTACACTGATGAAACGTCAGTTATGTTGGTCGTCACGTGACTACATATATTATTACTTAAACTACCGTGTGTGTATATGAGGAAGAGAAGAAACACGCACACACACACACACACAAACACGTGAAAAACAACCTAATTGGATGATAAAAAAAACATGCGTCCAAAAACTTACCAACTTCAAGACATTTACATATAGAGCCACATCCTCTCTCTCTCTCTCTCTCTCTCTCTCTCTCTCTCTCTCTCCTACGTTAATTCTCAACATAACTAACCTGCACAAGTCATCCATACACCACGGGGGAGGTATTGTGTCGGGGATGAAACAGAGGAGAGGTGTGATGAGTGGGGGGTAACGCCTGAAAAACACTTGGTATTCAGCTTACCATTAAAAAAGAGCCTTTTGCTTCCACCCTAAACTAACGTACCGTAAGGTAACCTAACTTAACCTAATTTACCCCATCCTAGCCTAACTTAACCTAACCTAAACCAATTTAACCCATCCTAGCCTAGCCTAACCTAACCTAGCCTAACGTAACCTAATTCGTCATACACACACAAACAGGTTAATAGGTCGTGTAATATTAAAAAAAAAAAAAGATTACAGCTTTTGTTTTTAGTTCGGGTTGATTGTTGTGGGTCCGGTGAAAAGGTGCGTTTGGTCAGTTGTTTGTGTACGTGAGTTTGTGATGAACGGAGAGTGACGGCTGCCTCATTCCTCCCTTTAGCATTTTATGAAAGGTGAATAACATGGACGTATGGAGAGAGAGAGAGAGAGAGAGAGAGAGAGAGAGAGAGAGAGAGAGAGAGATGTTTGATGGATAACAATGGACTGAAAAATTGTTGTGAAGTGAAGGAGAATTGAAAGATAATCGATAATGAACAAAATCAAGAGACAGGAGAAAGGAAGATGAAAAAGATACAACACACACACAACAATAACGCCGTGAAAAAACATTAAAAACAAACACTTTTCCAACGAATAAAACCTGGGATGAAACACTACCAACCATGGGGGGAAAAACACGCGAAAAAAACACACACACACACACACACAAAAACTTATCCACCCCAAAGCTGTAGTCTCAAAAACTGACCCCAAGTCCAGCGTTCTCCTTTAAATATGTGGAGAGGAGCGTAGAAACGACAGAAAAATCGGTGAGACAGACATACAGACACACAGAGAGAGAGAGAGTATGTGTGTGTGTAGGTCGTCGTGTTAGGGCCAGAGGTAAGCCAGACACTTGGTTTATTGACATGCAAGGGTTGAGGTCTACCAATATCCTCCCCCCATACCAATGTTATACCTCCCTCCTCCTCTCTCTGTTCCTTTTAGTCCTCTCCCACCTACTATACCACCATCCTAGTGACGTGTCTTAATTTACTTTCCATCATCCTTAAATATACCGTATATATATACAGTATATTTACACTGGCATGATCACTAATATATCTCATCCACACGTCCCATCTTCCTCTTTTATCATGCCTCCTGCCTCCTTCCCCTTCGCTCCCTTTTCATTCCATCTCTCTTAACCCCCCCCACCCCATCCCTACACCCGCCAGGTCAACAGGACGACAAAAACACGTTCCATTAGGGGCCAGAAACTTGTTTGTGTACCTTCACTTTATTACAGAATTATAATTACCTTTGATGGTGTTATTGGAGGGTGAGGGTAATGTGATTGGGCTATGTCTGTCAGTGTGTCATGCAGTGAACCAGGTGCTGTTGTATTGTGTACCTCAGTCAGGTTATTTATCAGTAAGTCAGTCGACACTTGACTGATATGAGTATAGAAAAACCTTGTTATTTTTTTTATACTGGACATTTTTAAATAAATGTATTGTTTAATATTAACATGAGCAGTGCACACATCAGGACGTACAGGAGGTCAGGACTCATTAAATATTCAGACAAGGGTTATACGAGCGAGCGTGAGTCCATTAACAACAAGCAAGACTGTAAACATAAGACACGCACTCCACATACATGGGGCCTCCCTTGTCCCAGAGGCGTCTTGTACCGAGGAAGCGTAAGACTGGTCACGCGGGCCTTAAACCATGGCTTAGTTTGGGCCACACGGGAACACCAACGGCTTGATCATTGGTTTTAAATATAAATTGTTGCCTGTGTGTTTCAAGAGTTAATCATATATAAATCTATCAAGTATGAATATATTTTAATCATCACCCAGTGTCAGTTCACTGCTGAAACAAGGCTTCTTCATCATCCCCTCCCAAAGAGAATCCTAAACTACATAATGTCTTTTATCCATTGGCCATTTTCGTAGGATCCAGCAGTCGCAGATCTTCTTAGTTTACTGTTGATTATGTAAGATAAGCTCAGTTCCTACCCGCACATGGCCTTACAGTAGTAACGTATTGTACTTCAGTTTTACATGTCATAGATTCGCTTCTGTTCCCTGACTCTCTATGTTATACCACCTACATCTTCTCATGCATTTTTGAGTAGCTTGGAGTTTCTATGTAATGTTTGCTTTTACACACACATTTCACATTCATATTTCAACACTGGAAGTAGGAGACACCTGGCATATACTTTGTACATGCGTGTTGCTTCTGAATAAATGACTTAAGTCTTCCAAAGGATTTCCATTATATTTTGACTTCTTTCCACTCTACTACACTTCTTTATGTAACTCAGTTTACTTTGGCTTTTTCTTGCATATAAATGATTGAATTCTATGGAAGGGGAATATGTGTAGTATTCATTATTTTTTTGTCTTTACCAACATATTAAAGAACATTTGGTTGTGTTCATTTTCACTCGTTCCTGTTTGCTTGCATCGACCAACTCCTGTGTTTGCCTTCACACACACACACACACACACACACACATGGTCAGTTCCCTAGCTCTTTAAAGCATATATAACAAACACTGAACTTGCCCCATCAAAACACCCCAAACACTCTCCCATGAACCCAAGGTATGAGGCATTGCATTTCTAGAATATTTCCAGGTCAATTTGCAATTAAAATTATTTACTAGTCTTTAATTAATCCTCAGCCCTTCCCGCTCTCTCGGTTGAATGAAAGCGAGTTTAGAGTCTTTGTTGGTATTTTTATAAATGAATTACAGAATACACAACAGGTAAAAGGTTAGGCTTCTTGGTCTGTCGTTGCGTCGTGTATATCAAGACAAATATGACCATAACATTATTCTAACTTTCTGGTAATTTATTTCGTCATGTAAGAACGCCTCCTATGCTTATCGTTCCTCTCTCAGCATGTACCGGTACAGCCTCCCGAAATATCCGAGAAGTTTTCAGAAACCATAGGAAAGCCAACGATT